CATGATGTTATCAGTATAGCAAAAGAACTGTTTATTCCTGGTGGAAAGAGCTGTTACGGAAATGAAGCTGACATGTCTTTTGGCATAGCTAACTATAAACATGAAGATATGAGTGAAATTACTGTTGATGGTGTAACCCAAGCTTTTACACTGGAGAGATATTTGGAATCCTCCAAGCTTACAAGAATTAGATTGTATCTCACTTCCAAGGTTAATACAAGTGATAATGATGAAGAGGGAGAACCACGTAAGTCCATTCTTCTTCCAAGTACTGAGTCTGAATCATCCTTGGAGACAATCAAAGAAAGAAGAATGATAGTGAAGGAGCAAGAAAAGGCATATGAAGAGTCTTTAAAAGTAGATCAAGAGAAAGAAGCTAAGAAAGAACAGGAAGAAAGTGAAAAAAAGGATCTTCTTTTAAAAGAAATGAAAGATGCAGAACGCAAAGAAAAACTTAGAGAATCTAGACAAAGAAGAGTGCCTTCTGAACCAATCAGTGCAGACGATGGTGTGCTTATATATGTACGTCATTCTAGTGTGGGTGTAGTTCATCGACACTTCAGAAAATCAGAGAAAGTAACGGCCATATATGATTGGATTGGTTCATTAAGTGATGTTCCAGAACATTTTGAGTTAACAGATCATACTTATGCACTTATGACACCATCACAACCTGTAACATCAATATCATCAATGCTTTATATGAATGAATCTACATCAACGCCAAGCATCGAAGAAGATTTAAACTTTAGAGGATTTGGGCTTGCATGTGGTACTGAAAATGATACCATCAACTTAAGTGTGCAAGCTGACCCACAGTGTTCTTCACAGTATTCATTGGGTGAAGCAGATGGGTTGCCAGTTGTTGAGTCCCAGAGCCTTCCAAATGACATTCTGGCAATAGACGCAATTAAAGTTCCTTCCCAGTTACTCAAAGATGATGATGGTGAAAGGTATGCAAATCTAATGAAAAACAATCATAAGTTCTCAATATTTCTAGTAATGAAGCAGTGAAAGTGATAGATAGTAGAATAGTTGTGTCTACATTTGAGATATTATTCCTTTGTCAAAGTAATCTAACCCTGACAAAGGACTAATTAATATAAAATTACAGTGTCATAAATAATACCTCAGTTAATTATYTCTTTGGCTAGAAAGTAAGTCTCCTGAAATTTATCAATTGAGAAATATTAAGTGTCACAAATATTTTTTCATCCCATGCAATTAAGGAAGTTTGGGACACCTGCTACTACAAATCAACCTCATGCATGTCAAATTGGCAGAATACTCAGTTATTATATAATAAAATGTATTATTTTTAAAATTATGTTCACAGTTCTGATAATGATGAGCTACAACCAGTATTTGTATCGAGTACTAATGAGCCACTACCAACATTCAATTCTGATGAAGAGGTAGCTTGTATTTATGGTAATTTAGGAAAAATGACAAATAAAAMAACTGAAATTAAACTAACTGCAAGAATTACTATGCTATGCAGTGTTAAGTATTATCAGTTAGTAATGGCATTACTTGATGTTGAGTTGTGTTATTCATTTATTAATTTCATGTGCACACACATAATATTTAGTTACAATTACTTTTATAATGCAATTGCAAATACTTTGGCAAATTTTTCACATCACATTGTTTTTACTTATTTTTTTAGAGAGGGTATTACTTTCGACAGGTGGCATTGCCACATTTATTGGGCCTGGACAAGGTAAAGAGTTAAACTCAAGTGCATTTCATAGATTATTTACAATGTGATGGGGTTATATAATTATGGATATTTTCTGGAAAAATACATTTTGGTTTTCTTGCAATATAGCTTAAAGTATGCTAGTATTATGACTAATATAAAAATGCTTCATACAATATTGAACAAGAAAATACATATTTGGCTATTGCACATGCATTTTTCAGATTCATACACATTTAGGGTCTTGTTTATGTTTTGTTTATGCTGGTGGTAGTCATTATCTGATGAAAACGATCACAAAGTAGACTAAACATCAAGGCCAACTAACAAATATTGTTATATTATGTTACTGTTCATGGCGTGACATTACGTCACACCCTATATAGAATTACTTAGTTTTGATTTCAGATTTGATCTTGTAGTTTATGGCCGTGTGTAATCACCAATATAGGATCCAACACTAGTACTCAATAAAGCATAACATAACAAATATGTGTCAATATGAAACACTTTCACATTCTTAATGGAGACGAAATACTAAAGACTAAGAAAAAACATTATTCCAAATAATGTGCACCGCAAACACAAAAAAGGAATAAATCATTCACTTTTGTTACCAATTTGGATAAACCAAATACAATTTCAAAATTCTCATATTCAAAATGCATTTGTTGACAAAGCTTACTTTGTTGCAAACTTTCCTTTGTTCTTTATAAAATTATTTCATTTCACTGTCTTTTTTTATACTGATTTTCAGGACGAACTATCAYTTGAATCCAAAAGAAAAGCGGTATTAAGACAGCTTCAAGAGGATGGATGTAGTGCAAGGGTTGTGAATGTTGACAGATGGAACATTGTTTCAAAYATGATGGTTTTGTATAGTGATGATGAAAAAATCTTAGATGAGGTTGTTCAATTCCAGTTCAAAGATGAGAGTGGARCTGACTTTGGAGGAATCAGCAGAGATGTCTTCTCTTCATTTTGGAAAGAGTGTGCCATGAGATTCTTGGAAGGCAATGATGATTCCTTTGTACCTCAGCAAAAGGGTATTTCAGATAAAGAATTTATAACACTAGGAAAGATCATCCATCATGGTTTTGTGCTCACTGGATACTTTCCAATAATACTGAACAACACATACATAGAAGCAATGCTTTTGGGAGTCAATGAAGTGGCTGCTGACTGTGAAACCTTGCTGAAGGGTTATATTAAGTACTTGGGTCCTTATGAGGGTTCAAGATTATCACAAATCTTATCCTTGTCAATTCTGGGCAGTGAAGATTTAAGTTTTTTTTATGGAACTAGAAAGTCGTGTTGGCATCCGTACAACTCCAGGACAACACAACCTCAAGGATCTTGCTTTACAGATGGCTAAGTGTGAGTTACTTGATTTGCCCCTGCATACAATGGGAAAGATTAACAATGGAATGACTTCAAGTACCCATGGTCAAAACTTGTGGAGTACTGTAACTAAGGAAGAGATAAAAGAACTTTATCAGATCCAATCCCCAGATCCTCAGAAAGTTGCAGCATTGTTGGTGACRACACGAGATGACCTTTCATTGAAAGAATCAAAGTCATTTGACTTCTTAAAAAGGTATGTGGCAACTTCRACACTAAAGAGATGCGCAACATTTCTGAAGTTCTGCACTGGAAGTAGCTCTATACTTGTAAAGRATATCTTGGTAGCTTTCTTCGAAAGCACTTCTGTGGAACCACTACCTAAAGCCCATACCTGTGGTGCAGTAATCAAACTACCATCTAATGGTTACACTACATTTAATGCATTCAAGATGACCATGGATTCACTTCTGGAAAACCAATTCTCTTTTCACTTCACATTCCAGTAGAACATGATATTTACTATTCAACTATTACTGTTGAGTCACTGTTATTAAAGCAGTAGTTATTATATAAGCTAGTACTGCTCTATTACATAGCCCTCCATAATCAACCAAAATGTACTGCAGAGTTATTTTCTGATGAATGGGTTTTGTATTGTAACGTCTGTAACTTATATTTAAGAAAACATTCAAATTATCTGTTGT